TTCCTACTTTCTCTTCTCTTCTCTTCTCTTTTCTTCTCTTCTCTTCTCTTCCTCTCTGTAGTTCAGAAGAGTGGCAGAAGGTGGGCTCTATGGAGAGGAGTAAAATGGGTGTCACAGTGGAGGACGATGGAGAGTTCTGGTGAGTTCACCCGTTAAACTCAGGGGTCTGTAGGTGGGCTCCTCACTCGCAGAGCTAGAAGCTTCAGTGAAGTAGACAAAACATCATCATCATCATCATATATTATATCATATATCATATATAGATTATATTGTTTACAGATCAAAATGAGCGTAAACAAACTCAACAGGAGCTCCAGCTGTGAAATGTTCTCTCTGCAGGATGTTCTTTGATGACTGGTGTCAGAACTTCACGGATGCCTACGTGTGTCGACTGCTGAACACGTCTGTGCTGAGTGTGCAGAAGTCGTGGTGTGAGGTTGTGTGTTTCAGCAGCTGGACCAAACACACGGAACCGCTGAAGAACCGGTGTGGCGGCTGCATGAACTATAGACAGACCTTCTTACAGAACCCACAGGTAACACGCCGCAGCCCTCGAGATCTCCATGACGGTACTTCAGCTTCGTTGTCATTGAACGGTGTGGAACACAGTTATCCAGAACTCTTTTTCTTGTGTAATCGAGATTTTTAGGCATAAACATCTGAATGACTGATCAAGCAGAACCAGCTTCAGCTGTTTGAACACTGCTAGCTAAGGTAGAGCAACAGATATGCTCACCACATAGTATCTGTTGCTCACCACATAACTATATACTATGTGGTGAGCAACAGATACTATGTGGTGAGCACCAAATACCCGAAACTTTCAGGTGAGCGCCTGATACTATCAGGTGAGCACCAGATACTATTAGGTGAGCACCAAATACTATCAACTGAGCACCAGATACTATGTAGTGAGCACCTGATACTATCAGGTGAGCACCAAATACTATCAACTGAGCACCAGATACTATTAGGTGAGCGCCAAATACTATCAAGTGAGCACCAGATAGTATGTGGTGAGCACCCGATACTAATAGAAAAAAAAGACATAGATTGCCAGCAAAATACATCAAAGTTACTGAAGAACTGAGGTTCCTACAAATCATGAAAAGTCTGTGTTTTATGGCTACTGTGATAAGGGGTTAAAGTAGAATGGTCAAAAATACCACTGCAGTCCTGTAGGGGCGCTGTCTGAAACTAGCATGACCGTCAAGGTTTGTTTTCTGCGTTTTTTGACAGAGTTTTGATGTTTATGGTCTGAACTGAAGGCCGAGCTCTAACAGTCCCGGTATATAACGTATATGTGTGTTTCCTCAGTACGTGTTGGATCTTCAGGATGCAGACGAGCTGCTGGTGTGTCTGCAGCAGAGAGATATGAAGATCCACAGGCCTCACGGTCAGGGAGAGAACCTCAACATCGGATTCGCCATATTTAAGGTACAAACAGTCCCAGTCGAACCCCTGCAGACACTGAGCCCCACACTCCTGAAGCTGACTTATTGATCCAGGCTAACAGTGGAGACGATGGAAAAGGTGTGGAATAAAGCCAGTTTGGGATGGGATTAAATCACGGGGGGATCCTGGGGCATCTCCACTGTTACAGGGTTAGTTAGGTTACTCTGTGGCTAGTTTCATCTGGATCGGCTTTGTTGGCAGGGATACAAAAAATAGGGGTGCTGCAGGCCCCCAGATTTCAAAATTAATAATAATTGTGAAACTTTCTGAACTATAATAATAGCATGGTAAAAAGTTTATAATGAGAACATGGTAAAGATCCGTTTTCAAGTATAGTTTGTAGATTTTTATTCCGTTTGTGTCACAAGCTTCAAACACGTCCTGGCTGATCGAGTGCATTTAGGAGGGAGGTGGGAATTGATTTTTGGATGATCTATCGCTTTAATGACCGCGTCCAGCCTGTTACAGTTCCCAGCACGGCTGCTGCTGTAAATCACTCATCTTCGGGGAGACGTTCCTCACAGACAGACGCGACAAGCTGAGAAAATACAGACCAAACAGGCCAAACAGACCAAACAGACCTCAGAGATGATTAAACTGATCAGCACTCAGTGAGGAACCACTGAAACTGGACGAGAGAGACTCTTTCTCTCTCTCTCTCTCCTGATGTTAATAAAGCTCCTCCTGATGCTGTGTTTAAGGCAGAGACTCTCTCAGACGTTGAGTTTCACGCTTATTAGTGTTTTATTCATGCCTGGCTGTTTTTGTTCATGGACCCGGTGGGATAAATTTACTGTGACATTTAAAAGTTTGCCAATAAAAACGAGACGTTTGGAATCCGCCAGGTCTGAAAGAACTCTAATAATTTAAACTTGAAGCTCTTTGTTGACTCTGTCTTTTATCAAACTACTTGTAATATGTCTGGTACTGATAAGTGATGAGGTGCAGATGGGAGTCTTACAGCCATTAGTGATGCTGGAGATTTACAGTCTAACTGCTGAAACTTTTTCTTTATAACACTCCTCCTTTCCTAAATAACAGCGAAATAAACAGTGTAAACACTTAAACTGCAGATTATTATTCGGTTATTAGACTTAAAATTTCTTATTCAGTATCTGCTATAAATTATTAAGTATCTGCTATGAATTATTGAGTATCTGCTATGAATTATTCAGTATCTGCTATGAATTATTCAGTAACAACTATGAATTATTCAGTATCTACTATGAATTATTCAGTAATGACTATGAATTATTCAGTATCTACTATTATTCAGTATCTACTATGAATTATTCAGTAACGACTATGAATTATTCAGCATCTACTATGAATTATTCAGTATCAGCTATGGATTATTCAGTATCTGCTATAAATTATTCAGTATCTGCTATGAATTATTTAGTATCTGCTATAAATTATTCAGTATCTGCTATAAATTATTCAGTATCTGCTATGAATTATTCAGTATCTACTAAGAATTATTCAACATCTACTATGAATTATTCAGTATCTGCTATAAATTATTCAGTATCTACTATGAATTATTCAACATCTACTATGAATTATTCAGTATCTGCTATGAATTATTTAGTAACTACTCTGAATTATTTAGTATCTACTCTGAATTATTTAGTATCTACTATGAATTATTCAGTATCTGCTATAAATTATTCAGTATCTGCTATGAATTATTTAGTATCTACTCTGAATTATTTAGTATCTACTATGAATTATTCAGTATCTACTATGAATTATTCAGTATCTACTCTGAATTATTCAGTATCTCCTCTGAATTATTCAGTATCTACTATGAATTATTCAGTATGCACTATGAGTTATTTGATATCCACAATAAATTACTTGGTATCCACTACGTATTATTAGATATCCACTATGAATTGTTCGGTATAAACTACGAATTTTCTCTCTCTCTCCCAGGTTGAGGTGAACAGGAAGTATCGAATCCATGACCTCATCACTCAGCAGAACGTGGCCTCATCGAAGTACATAAAAGCTCGCTCTGTGTTTCTGAGGAAGGCTCTGCCCAAAGGCCGATACGTCATCATCCCGTCCACCTTAAGGCCTGAGTTGCTGGGAGACTTCATGCTGAGAGTCTATACTGATAAAAACTGCGGCTGCAGGTATCACACCTGAACACCACACCACTCACTGCACATACAGAGAGACAGCTGCCCCTCATAGAGAGAGAACTGTTAACCCTAAAGGAAACTGCAGCAGAACCAGCACAGCTGTATAATCACGTATTAGGCTGTAAAACAGGCTGGAGGAGCTAAAACATTTACAGAAAACTGAACAAACTAAACTTTAACTGCTAAATTTTAGCTGAACAGTGAAGTCTACAGAACAAGTGAGCAAATCATATACAAACACTAAGAAGGGCTACGTTTACAGAACAAGTATCAATGCAAAACTGGACTGTAAAATAGGAAAAGAACAACTGAGAACTTTTAAAAGTAACCCTACAATTTTAACCCTGTGGGGTCCACAAACTCACCTGTGTGCCAAATTCCCTGTTTCTATATCTGTGTCTGTGTCTTTGTGATGATCCAGCTCAGAAATCCAGTTCAAACACTTCCTGAATCTGTAGAGTCGCCCTTTCCATTCCGTCTCATCACAAGATCATACGAGACTCACATCCAGAGTTATGAGCCTATGAAGAGGGGCTGAGATACACGTCATCTGCATTAAAAGTAAAGTAGGTTTTTTTCCTTCTCCTGTAAAGTTATCATCTTGGAGATATGAGGTTTTGTTATGACAGCAGCAATACACACACACACACCCACACACACACACACATATATATATATATATATATATATATATCGCTGTTGTCAGAAGAAAACCTCGTATCTCCAAAATGGTAACTTTACAGGAAAAGGAAAAAACCTACTTTACTTTTAATGTAAGTCAATGGAACCAGACATTTTTCCCAGTAATTTCGGGTCGTTTCTTTTGGTCCCTCCTTCATGAAATTTGCATACAATGTAAAGAACAACAGGCATTTTCAAATTATGTCAAAAACTGAAAAATAACAAAAAAGTTTTCTTCCGACAGCAGCAATATATATATATATATATATATATATATATATATATATATATAGCAATTGTGTATTTTAAGTGTGTAGAGAATGTGTTAGCTTATTTCCATTTCAAAATCAGCAAAACGTAGAATTTGACAATTATATACAATTACAAAGGTATATAATTACAGTCTGTAGCTCATCTACGGTTTATAAGCACTAATGCATGTAATGATATTATCACCCACTGTTACAGGAATAGATGCTATTTGCATGGCTGCAGTGTTATTAGGTCACATTATAAGGACGTCCTGTGCTGTGCTATAAGCTGTGTGGTCATTTCCGTCCATACTGGAGTTAGTATCGTTTATCAGATGTGTTCTAGCTGAAGAACAGTAAGCTGCCTCCTGAGTTCTCAAGGCGTATTAGGCTCACTTCTCCCCTCCCCACATTCTTTCTCAGAGAGCTGGATTTAGATAAGCCGCGCGTCCACTGCTGGAGCTCGTTTGTGGGTTATCCTCAGATGGTCACTCACATTTATGTGCACGGAGCAGAAGGGCTGGAAAACCAGGACAGTAACGGAGGTGAGTCTGTCTGAAACAGCCTCCAGGGGGCACTGTGGAACCATTTCAGACTGTAAAACCTCACAGTCCTGAAAGCAGACAGTTCTGTACAAATATAAAGCTGTAAGAAAAACTTTAAAGGGCCCAAAATCACAGAAAACTCACTGTTTAAAATAAAGAGTTTGATGTAAAAGATAAACAATGTTAAAGTTTCTGAGTACACTTTCGAAAAAAAGATGGTTCTTCAAAGGTTCTCTGGTAAAGACAATGGTTTTATGTAGAACCATGAACATTCAAAGAACAAGTTGCATGCTTAAACTGTTCTTTGCATCATGAAATGGTTCTTCATATTAATGGAGAATATGTCGTATGTGGTTCTATATGGAACCTATTTAGCAGCAAAAAGGGTTCTGCTATTGTTACAATGTCAAGCTTTCACCAGTTCACCATGTAAAGAACCATTTAGGCATGCAAATTGTTCTTTGAGTGTCCATGGTTCTAGACACAGCCATTGTCTTTATTAAAGAACCCTTGAAGAACCATCTTTGTAGTTTATACGTAGAAAATAAGCTGTTTGAATTAATTGTTTTTGTGAGGTCACAAAAAGCATTTAAATACGTTTGCCTAATTTTCCTATTAGCCCCGCCCCTTTCACACTGAAGGTATAAGAAGTGTTTCAGCCCAGACTGCTTCTTGAATGAGGCACAGCCAATCAGAACAGAGCTTATTTACATACATCAGTCTTAAAGGCACAGTAACTAAAGGGGCGTGTTTAATTCTAAGAGATAAGGAGAGTTTGGACAACGATCATTAAAGTATTAATTATGATTGTTTTGGTATTTAAAACCATACAGACATTATATGTGGAAAATACAGAAAATATAGGATACGGGCCCTTTATAGTGTAACTCAGTCTGTAGGACGGCTCACAGTGTGTGTTGATTGCAGGTGCTGATCCCTATGTGATCATTTCCTGCGAGAGCAGTTCAGTCCAGTCCCGAATTCAGAACAACACCCGGGACCCGCTGTTCGACGTCAGAGCCATCTTCTACAGGAAGAAACCAAACAAACCAATCACCATCCAGGTGAGACGCCTCGCTGACCAAACTCACTTAGATTGTATCACAATACCTATTTAGAGCCAGTTTTTCATTTAGCCTGATGTGTTTCTAATAAAGTGGCCAGTTAGTGGAAGCACAAGGTTGGTGTTTCTAATAAAGTGGCCAGTTAGTGGAAGCACAAGGTTGGTGTTTCTGATAAAGTGGCCAGTGAGTGGAAGCACAAGGTAGGTGTTTCTAATAAAGTGGCCAGTTAGTGGAAGCACAAGGTAGGTGTTTCTAATAAAGTGGCCAGTGAGTGGAAGCACAAGGTAGGTGTTTCTAATAAAGTGGCCAGTTAGTGGAAGCACAAGGTAGGTGTTTCTAATAAAGTGGCCAGTGAGTGGAAGCACAAGGTAGGTGTTTCTAATAAAGTGGCCAGTTAGTGGAAGCACAATGTAGGTGTTTCTAATAAAGTGGCCAGTGAGTGGAAGCACAAGGTAGGTGTTTCTAATAAAGTGGCCAGTTAGTGGAAGCACAAGGTTGGTGTTTCTAATAAAGTGGCCAGTGAGTGGAAGCACAAGGTAGGTGTTTCTAATAAAGTGGCCAGTTAGTGGAAGCACAATGTAGGTGTTTCTAATAAAGTGGCCAGTGAGTGGAAGCACAAGGTAGGTGTTTCTAATAAAGTGGCCAGTTAGTGGAAGCACAAGGTAGGTGTTTCTAATAAAGTGGACAGTGAGTGGAAGCACAAGGTAGGTGTTTCTAATAAAGTGGCCATTGTGCATACTGTGTCTGAGTACTTAGTTTGGATTGTTTAGTAGGTTGACCATCTACATAGCATATCATTTGTATGTGTGTGTGTGTGTGTGTGTGTGTGTGTGTGTTCTCCAGGTGTGGAACAGTAACGCTGTGAAGGACCAGTTTATGGGCCAGGTGGTTCTGCCGGCAACTCTGCAGGACACTGCAGAACCGCAGAAGATCCAATTGAAAAAGAAAGGTCGTCAGACGGCTGAAGAAATGCCCGGAAAGATCAGCCTCAGGGTCGTAACGTCCAGGGAGCTCACGGCCATGTAGAACAACAGAGGCTAGTTAATATGAACAACAAAGAAACTGTGTAGCACATATAACCCACTCTTAAAGGAACAGTTCATATCTTTAATCAGATTTTTGGCTGAACTATCAGTTTTACCCACTCACACTGACAAGTCAAGCTTAGCTGACGTATGATCATCATTAAATCATATCACAGGCAAACATCTAACATTCCACAATATTCACCAAAAAAGGCCATACAGCTAGATATATACACGCTATATGGACAAAAGTATTTGGACACCTACACATCACACCTACAGGGGCTTTTATGAATCCCATTCTAAATCCACAGGCATTAATATGGAGCTGGTCCCCCTTTGCAGCTCTAACAGCTTCCACTCTTCTGGGAAGCTTCTACAAGATTTAGGAGAGAGTCTGTGGGAATTTCTGCCCATTCATCCAGAAGAGTATTGGTGATGTTGGACGAGAGGGTCTGGCTCACAATCTGCGTTCTAGTTCATCCCAAAGGAGTTTGATGGGGTCGAGGTCAGGGTTCTGTCAGGGTCAGTCAAGTTCTTCCACACCAAACTCACCCAGTCAGGCCTTTATGGAGCTGCTTTGTGCTCTGGGGCTCAGTCATGCTGGAACAGGAAAGGTTCTTCCCCAAACTGTTCACACAGTTGGAAGTGTATAATTGTCCAAAATGTCTTGGTGCTGAGTCATTAAGATTCCCCTTCACTGGAACTGAGGGTTCTAGACCAACCCCTGAAAACAGCCCCATATCATCATCCCTCCTCCACCAAACTCTACAGCTGGCACAGTGCAGTCAGGCAGGTAACGTTCTCCTGGCATTCGCCAAACCTAGACTCGTCCATCAGACTGACAGATAGAGAAGCTGATTCACTCCACAGAATACGTTTCCACTGATCCAGAGTCCAGTGGCGGCGCTTTACTCCACTCCAGCCGACGCTCGGCATTGTGTATGTTGATCTTAGCTTCCAGAGTCAGTTTGGAGCTCTTTAGTGATTCAGCAGAGGATAGACACTGTGCGCTTCAACACTCGGTGGCTCCACTCTGTGAGGAGGAGGGGTGTCCCAATACTTTTGTCCATATATATATATATATATATATATACACATATATATAGTGTTCTATAAAATGTTTACCTAGAACTGACTCCACTATACTCCACAGTGCAGTATTTTGTATTATTAATGCTTATTTTGTAATATTGGACCTTACAAATATTAAAATGATTTTTTTTAAATGTGTGAATTTCTGCTCTATAGCCCAGTGGTCAGGGGTTTAAATCCCAGTTATAACTGGGTATTCCTGGTTGTGGTTCCAGTTAGTGCTGCTCTGACAAAATGAAAAATACCATAATAATCAATAACAGGGCTGCCCAACCTGTGACCCGTGAGGATAACTCCAACCTCCCTCACTCAATGAGAGGAAACACATACTTTTATACTGTACACTGATCTGCCTCCTTGTTTCTACACTCACTGTCCATCTTATCAGCTCCACTGACCGTATAGTTTCACTCAGTAGTTCTACAGTTACAGACTGTAGTCCGTCTGTTTCTCTGATACTTTGTTACCCTGTTCTTCAGTGGTCAGGACCCCCATGGACCCTCACAGAGCAGGTACTATTTGGGTGGTGGATCATTCTCAGCAGTAATACTGACGTGGTGGTGGTGTGTTAGTGTGTGTTGTGCTGGTGCGAGTGGATCAGACACAGCAGTGCTGCTACATGAACGTGTTCATGGTTTCCTATACACTCTTAAAAAAAGACTGTTCTTCAAGGGCTCCTTAATAAAGGCAATGGTTCTACATAAAACCATTTGCATGCTTGAATAGTTTTTGCATTGTGAAATGGCTCTTCAGACTGATGGAGAATTTGCTGTATATGGTTCTATCTAGAACCTTGTTGAAAATGTTTCTCTAAAGCACCAAATAAGATTCCTCTATTGTTACAAGCTTGACACTGTAAACGCTTTAAAAGATGATTCTTCAAAAGTTCTTTTGTAAAGAAAATGGTTCTACACAGAACTAGGAACACTCAGAGAACCCTTTGAATGGTTAAGGGTTCTTTGCATCATGAAAGCGTTCTTCAGATTGAATGGAGAACCTGTTGTATATGGTTCTATGTGGCACCAAAAATTTTTACAAGCTTGACATCGTACACAATAGCAGAACCTTTTTGGTGCTACATGGAACTATTTTCAAAAAGGTTCTATATAGAACCATATACAACACATTCTCCATCAATCTGCTTAACCATCTCACTACGTTAAGAACCATTTAATCATGAAATGATTCTTTGAGTGCTCATGGTTCTATACAGAACCTTGTTGAAAATGATTCTATAAAGCACCAAAGACTCTTCTACTGTCACAAGCTTGACACCATACATACTTAAAAAGATGGGTCTTCAATGGTTCTTTAGTAAAGAAAATGGTTCTATATAGAACCATGAATGCTCAAAGAACCCCTTGTGTGATTAAAAGGTTCTTTGCATTGTGAAAGAGTTCTTCAGATTGATGGAGAACGTGTTGTATATGGTTCTATATAGAACCATGTTGAAAAAGGGTTCTATGTAGCACCAAAAAGAGACATTGTTACAATAGAAGAACCCTTGTTGCTGCTATATAGAAGCACATACAACTGATTCTCCATCAATCTGAAGAACCATTTCACGATGCAGAGAACATTTTAAGCATGCATTGTTCATGGTTCTACACAGAACCATTGTCTTTGCTAAAGAACCCTTGAAAAACCAGACCTGAGGCCGTATTACAGAAACTTCCTATCTTTTCATCTTAACTTAAGATCTGAAAGGTCAAGATAAGATTTTTCACAAATTCGTTTTACAGAAGCAAATCTGATCTTAATTTAGGAATCTTATGTTACAGCATCTTTTCTTATCTCCAGTCAGGAAATCTTAACCCGATTGAAGTTGACAATCAACTGTCGTTTCTGTTACCTAGCAACCGACCTTACTTGCACAGCTGAAACGTAAACACGTAATCAAGTTAGTTGGCCAGACAGGTAATATTAGCTACTGTTACTGATGTAAACAAGGTCAAATAAAACTGAAGCGCGATAAACTGAGAGTTAAGAATACTGTTCTTATCGTCGCCGCTCCCCAGTTTCAGTCTCCATTTCCCAAACGCTTTAGCCGAGCGCGCTAACGTTACTCCTCCTAATAAACAGACACACGTTCAGCTCCGTCTCCTCATTATTCACCACCATCACTGTAATATTTCATCATCAACATTAACACACGAAGGTGATCAGAGGGGCGGTGGAGATCGAGTCTGCAGCGTCTGAGATCTTTAAAACGCAGAGTTAGAAAAGAAAATCATCTCACAGTGAAAGCAGCGTTTTACAGTAGAAATAAATGGAGCTCATTATGCTGGTTATAGTGAGCTGTGCTGCCCATCACTGCATAAAACAATAGAAACAGACGGTTAAACAGAAGTGAAGACGCTCTGGAGTTTATCTTACAGTTAAGACAATATTTAGGATATTTTGGCAACTTAGGATGTTTCTGTAAAACCGTTTTCTTATCTGGAAATAAGAGAAGATTATAGACTTAAGAACTGTTGTTCTGTAATGGCTTCTGTCCTTAACTTCAGTTAGTCAGTTACATTTTTGGTATGTTTTCTGGAATTTTACAGCAATTGCTCCGTTATATATTTCACTTTGTAGCACCAGTAATAGTAGATATTGTTATTTACTTTTGCCTCAAAATGACTCTAACTGCTTAATGACTAAGCTACACCAGCGTAGACGTTCCTTATGATCCTGGAAACACTTAATTTCCCCAGTTTGCCTTTATGCGAACTGAAGGGAAAGAGACCTGTCTTTAGGACGTGTAGAAAGGGGGAAATACCGGCCACAATTCTCTGTAAGAGGAAAGGATATATTGATTTCACTGTGAGGGGGGAATGTAGAAATGCACTGCTCTGTAATGTGTTTAGTGTATGTCACTGTATTCAGTACTGTGTGAGTCTGTACTGAGACTGTATTTAGAACATTCTCTTCTGCCTATTCTTGTTTATCCCTACATGGTCATGTCTGTCACACCTGTCACTTGTCATGTACAGGCTGAGCCTAATCTTGGCATCAGTCCGGCTATAAAGCTGCATCAGCCCATTGCTGGCTAGGTGTCCGGTACGTGCGCGCAAACGAATAAACTTCACTTCTCCAGACATCAGGCTGGTTCCCCTGGTACAGTTAGGGTTTGGATTCTTCAACTGAAGTTGCCATGATTTTCTGTAATACGGCCCCTGGTGTTTATAGAAACTGATTTTTTTTCCCCACATTAAGCAGCAAACTGAAAGCACACATCATCTCGAGGACGTTATATTTTTTTTCTCTTTTTTTTATTTTTTTTTTAATTCAGTCGAGTTCCCAAACTGCATATTTTTTCTTTTTTTTAAATATTTTAACACTCAAGACACAACCATGCACAATTTAGAATTCAAAAAGTCTATTGCTTCAACCACAATTTAAAATAGCTTATCCAAGGAATATTCCCCCTTTCACTCTGATTTTTTTCACTCTCTCGCTTTTTTCCTGCCTGTTCAGGCCTGAAAGAGCAGGTTTGGTTGTGGGGGGGTGGTGGGGGTGGGGGAAGGGCGTCTCCTTTGCAGTTTACAAACGTCAGAATTGGAATAATAATTTATAAAGAAACAGTTTTTTTTTAAGTCTTTTGTTCCGTTCTCGTTATTACACACCGAAGAGTCACAGCACGTGTACAGGGTCGGACATTCAGAAGAAAAGGTGAGGGGGGGGCGTACAATGTACAAGGCGTCGTTTACGTCACCAACGTCCGTTTTATTCTCTTTTTCTTCGCCGGTTTGTGCTCGTAGTCCACGCAGGGCTCAGACCGCCGCAGAACGTCCACAGGTCCGAACAGAGCCACAGCACGTGAGTGTGTGTGTGTGTGTGTGTGTGTGTGTGTGTGGCCCCTGAGTTCTCTCCTCGACTGAGGGACTTTCCAGTAGCAGGTCGTGCCGTCCGAACGTCCGTCTCCTTCGTTCAGTGTCAATGCAAAAACATTTACAAATACATATCAAAGAGTAGCCTGAATATCGTCGTCATAGTTCGAGTTTTTTTCTTTTTCTTTTTTTAAATTCATACAAAAACAGAAAGTTTAAATAGTTCTACATATACACGTACCAGTTTACCGCAGATGAACAAACTATGATGTTTTATGCGACGGTTTGGTGACGTATCTGACTTTTAGCCAAGGCGTGTTTGGTGTCTGAGGTTTGCTTCCTTAGTTTTAGCCCCGGAGCTACAAGGCTAATGTAGCTAACAGGCAATGGAAACTCATTTGTGTCATTTTATTCACCAA